GGCATGTTCCCGTGAGGTGCCGGCAAGCGTTGCAATGAAACGGGTCATTTAGCTTATGTTTTCATTGTTTTTCTTTCTTGGGAATGCATTGCTCCTATGTGTGGATTTCATGCTAGAGGGTAGGGTTTCTAATGCATTCATGATTCATGTACGCAAGTTAAGTATAATCTAGTAGATGATCCAGGTTTTAGAGGGGACCACTACTTTGTAGAGAAATCAAGCAATCTTTTGCAATTACGTGGGTTGTGGCTGGAGATTTACTTCTCACCCTATGTGATGAGGTTTCCTGATCCCAGGGAACAGTGGCGGAGCTTGAGCCAAAATTATGGGGGGGGGGGCATGGGCTAGAGAGGGGGGGAGGCAAACATAACTATTTTAGCTGATTTTTAATGGAAAATATGCCTAACACAAAGGAGTATCTACATGTTTTCTTGTGAGCTTGGGGGGACATGGCCCAGGTTGCCCCCCATGTAGCTCCGCCACTGCCAGGGAAGTTAAAACCCATGTTTTCAAGAGCGGATGAACCTTCATGTGGGCTCTTGTGAATGTGTCCTAGCGGTCCATTGTTATAGGTGCTAAGGGAGTATTGAATGTGGCGTGGGTGAACGTTAGTAACATTCTCATTGTAATAGTTTTATTTTGAACCGTCACCGGCATAAAGGATCCCCACCTGAATATATTGCTCAAAAAGCTGCCAAAGCCAAGAGTCACCTCTTAAATTTGGCTAGTCCAGCTTATAAGGGAAACCGGATAAAAAACCTAAACAAATTGACCCTGTTTATGAGGGAAACCGGGCCGAAAACCGTACAGTTAACAAGGTTACAGAAGATGAGAAAAAATTGCCATCCAGGAGAAGGCATGACCTAGCTAGCAGGCAGAAAGACCACCACGAGAGACACAAGTACATGTGAGGTGCTGCCGAGGGATCACAATACCAAGACTCTGCAAACAACCTAACGCACTGCACCGGCGTGCGTACCGAGCCCCAAGACCCAACAGAGGATCAACCATAATCAATGAGTGACAAACCTTAACACGAACCTTGACTGGGAGATCCGCCACGGGCAGTCGAAACGATTAGCAGGTTGGGGATGCATCATTGTGTCATCATTGAGCAAAGGTGAACCAAGACAGCACCAAGAGCCCAAAGCTAGCCGCGGCACAACGACAACCATTGGAGGGTCTTCAGTATGCACAACAGCAGGACGGAGACCACGCGAAGGACATCCGAAGAGAACACACATGAAGAAGAACACATCACCGTCGGCCCAAATCCGGCCGCACCACCACCACCAAACGCACCACCCACAACCACACGCAGCAAGAGGAGCTGTCGCTTTGGGCCTCCAAGATGACGCCTCCAAGGAGGTAGTGCTGCCGAAGACACAACAGCATCATCCGATCCGGCGAGCCCGATCTTAGGTTTTCACCCGGTGACCACAAAGCAAAGCATCATAGGTGTTGTAGCTCCACAGCGGCACCTCCTGCGAGGAAGGCGACATCCATAGAAGTCGTTGCCGCCGACATCGACTGAGCACATCCCTACAGCAAGACGGCCTAAACCACGCCGAAGCAGATCCACGTGAAATAGCTCGGAGACCATGCCTCTAGGAAGGTATACGACATCGGGATGGCGCCGTGATGGTCAGCTCACACAATGGGTGAGCGGGGATTTCTCCTATAGCACCACCGCATATGACCAGATTCGGACCATTGCAGGTCAGATCACCACGTCCAGACACTCACCGCCCCTGGCCGAAGCCGCCACCACCAAATCCGGGGTCGCCGCCTCGGCAACCGCAGACTTCCATCGCGCGGCCGACGCACAACACCAAGAGCCAAGCCGAAGTGCTGGCACTTCATCCCCAACCCTCCAAAACGAGCGTCTGGGACGAATCCGTGCAAGATGCAGCCCCCCACCGCATCCAAGCTGAAGACCAGTATCCCCATCCAACGCAGCCTCCCAACGGGGCCAGAACTGGCCAATTTTGGCCAGATTCGGCGAGCCGCCACATCCGACGACGAGCACCAGTAGGAGCTCGCACAGGAGGAAAAGGAGGCTGCCACCCCGCCAAGACCCGCCGGAGGAGAGCCACCACGCGGCGCGAAGGAGATTCGCTGGCACCGGCGACGCCACGCCGCGCAGAGGCCGTGAAAGGGCCGAGGCTCCCCTACCGCGAGAGCGCACCACAGGGCGAGGAAGCGCCCTGCCTCCGCCATATGCCGGGCGGGCTTAGCCCGCCGGCGTCCTCGGCGACGACGAGGGAGGATGAAGCAGGGGGCGTGGGCGGCTGCGGCTAGGGTTCTGCCCGAGCTGCCCTCATTGATAAGAGTAGTGAAAAGGATGTGGCATGTGTGGGTTCGTTGGTTGGTGTTACTCTGAAAATAGACACGTGGACTCTTAATAGACAGGAATGTATGAGACTAGAAATTGGATGGAGAGATGTTGATGATTTTCTCCTGTGGCTAAGGGCATCTCCAGCCGTTGGCCCCCAGGGGGCGTTTAAAAGCGCCGCCTGGAGGTGAGCTGGCGCAAAAAATGGCCCTGGGGGCGATTCGGTCCCCAGCCGTCGGCCCCCAGGCGCGTATAAAAAAAAAGAACGGCCGTTCGGTGAAGTTATGATAGAAAGTAGTTAAATTTCGGCTAAACATGGCAAATTTCGGCGAAATTCGCGCATTTTCATTACATTAACCTAATCTAAAAAAGAAAGGGGCTGAAGTCGTCGCCGCCATTGTCGTCGGCGGCCTTCTCCTCCTTGACGCGGGCGCCCCTGCTGGACCCGGCGTCGCAATGGCGGGCTGGCGGCGGCGCGTCGTCGTCGTCGTCGTCGTCGCTGTCGCGTAGGACGACGACCCCGTCTTCATCGCGGCCGCGTCGGCGCTCCTCAAAGCGGTGCAGGGCGGCGCACTGGCGCTCCTTCACCTTCTCCCGGCGCGCCTTCTCCATCGCAATGGAGTCCTGGCGCGCCCATTCTAGGGCCGCGTCATTGTCGTCGAACTCCGCCTTCACCGGCGCCAGCCCCGGCTTCGTCTTCACCGGCGCCAGCCCCGGATCCGTCTTCACCGGCGCCAGCCCCGGCTCCGTCTTGGGCTTGACGAAGCACGGAGGAGCCGACGAGGAGGAGGCGCGCCGGCCGCCCTCGTTGATGACGATGCCGGCGCTGCGAGCTGGATGTGGATAGTGAAAAGGAGGCCTCTGTGCATACGCCTAGGAGGGTGAGGACATTTGGTCCTCAAGATAACAATAAAAAACACTAAGTGGGTTTGATGAGTAGTTAGATCTTCATCCAGTAGTCCTCAAGGCATGAGTATGACCAAAACAAGGATAGTCTTGCATGACATATAATGGTGCAAAACTTTATTTACCATTGCAAATATCGAGTACGAGTTTTGCACAACTACAAAGACTATCCATTTCTTTCACATATAAACATTGTTTGTCCCTGTTGACCAGTCAAGGGGCTGAATATTTGGAGCTTGCCGGCGGCCGGCCGCAGCATCGCCGAAGCACGCGTCGGGTTGTAGCGTCGTCGGAGTTCGGATTCATCCATGTGTGTGTCCCGGGAAGAAGAAACGTGAGGAGAAAAAAAAATGTTTACAGTATGGGTTTACGAGATCTGTTCCGCCCATGCCTCGCGGTACCTTGCATACTGTTTTTTACAGGTGGTGTTTTACTGGATCTACTAGAGATGTTCTAAGGGTGTCTTTTTTGCAGAGTGAGGGTGGGGGCACTTCTATGACTTTTATTATGAATTAAGAAGGCGTTGGTGAGAAATCCTAAGAAAAAATGGGGAGAGCTGAATGTGAATAGTGCAAAAAGAGGCCTCTGTATGCATACGCCTAGGAGGAGGAGGACATTTGGTCCTCAAGATAATAATAAAAAGCACTAAAGGGGTTCGATGAGTTGTTAGATCTTGATCCAGTAGTCCCGAAGGCATGAGTATGACCAGAAGAAGAAGAATCTTCTATGACATATAATGGCGCGAAACTTTATTTACCATTGCAAATATCGAGTACAAGTTTTGCACAATTAGAAAATACAAGACCATCTAGGACTAGTCTTTGGAGACATATTTTTATAAAAGAAACCCTAAACACCACAGGTCACTCCGTAGCTCGAACCCGGGTGGGCTAGATAGCTCTGTGCTATCCTAGCCGACAGGGTGACACCCCGTTCATAACTTTTGCACAACTACAAAGAATGAGGACCTAAGTATGGATATACATTTCTTTCACATAAAAACATTCTTTGTCCCTGTTGACCAGTCAAGGGATTGTGAATATTTGGAATGAAAAAGTTGTTGCCAGGTTCATGTTTCAGGAAAACTACTCTCTCCATTCCAAAATAATTGTTGTGATTTTAGTTTAATTTTGAACTTAAACCACAATAAGAATTTTGAAACGGAGGGAGTACTTAAGATTCTCTTGAAAACTCGAAAGAAAATTTTTCATGTGCACACATGTGAGTAAAATTTACCGACTATAAATGTGTGATGATTTTTAAAAAGAATTTGTGGTTCTGTAATATTTTTTTTACTTTATTTCTGGACTAAATTGTTCCCGAACCACAAATCCCACGGCTAACCACACAATTTATAAGGGTGTATTACAGCTGTTAAATCTTGGTAAGGTCAAATCCCACATTTTCGGTTTTGTAAAGCAACAACAAAATGGAAAATCATCCCAAATACGTACAGTCTATATAGTCCCTCTCGTAACGTTCGTTTCTTTGAACAGTCAAAACGAAAAAACACCCAAAGGCTGCACAGGCTCAAATTATTGTCCTGTTTCTTTCCGTTTTCGGGTATGCGATGCTGGCTCGCAATGGCCTCTCCAGTTTTCCCCTTCCGCTGCCCTCCGCTTTGACGTCAAATCAATCGGCCGGTGAGCCAGCTGGGCATCTTGTGGTAGCTGCGCTTGCTTTTACCATCCCTCTTCTTCTCGTCCTCTTCCACCTCGCGAGCAGAGCAGTTCGCACTTGAGAAGCAGAGAGGGTGAGGATGCAGGCTGCTAGTGCTACTTGGGAGGAAAGGAGCAGGGGCTCGCCGTCGGCCATGGAGAAGGGCGGCGACCAGAGCGCCAGGAAGGCGAGGCTGGAGCTGGTGGTGGCCAACGGCCCTGTGAAGCGACAGATGGTCGTGCACGAGGCGGGCGAGATCGTGCCGGCGGAACAGGGCCCGACGATGCAGATCTCCGTCAAGATGGACGTCGCCGTGCTCCACTGCCCCTTCTGCTTCCTCCCCTTCAAGCCACCCGTCTTCCAGGTTCGACTACATCGCGTCGATCTTTGTTTGTTCCGTTCACCTGATCCAGGAAGACACGGGTTTCTTGATGTGGTGTTGGATCAATTTGTGCAGTGCAACGGCGGCCACCTGGCCTGCGGCGACTGCCGCGGCGAGCAGCCTGGGAGCCAGTGGCAGTGCGAGAGGTGCGAGCGGGGCGGCGCCTTTGACATCCGCAGCACGGCGATGGAGGCCGTTGTCTCCTCGGCCAGGGTCGAGTGCCCGCACGACGGCTGCGGGAGGTACATCACCTACCACGAGCTTGACGACCACCAGAGCGCGTGCCCGCACGCGGCCTGCAAGTGCCCGGTTCCCGGCTGCGACTTCGCCGGCCCGCCGCCCGCGCTCCTCCGCCACCTCAACACTCTCCACTCCGTGCCCGTACATAGCGTCCAGTACCGCAAGGTGCTCCAGCTGCAGGTGCCGGTGTCTGAGCCGCGGCGCCTGCTGCTCGCAGAGGAGGACGCCCGCGCTTTCCTCGTGGTCGGCGGCGCGCTTGGCCTGGGCACGCCCCTCACCGTGTCGGTGGTGTGCATCAGGGCGGGGGCGTCCCAATTGCCGCTCTACGCGGCCAAGGTATGGGTGAACGGACCACAGGCAGCGGCCAATGGCAGGGCCGACACCGTCAGTGCAGACATCGAGGTGACGAGCAGCAAGGAGCCCGGCGCCGTCGACATCGAGGATCTGACGTTCTTGACGGTGCCGTCCAAGCTACTGGCTGGGGCTGGGCCCTCCAGGACGGTGTCTCTCCACATTCGCATAGACAAGATCACCTCCTAAATGATTCCATGAAGCTTAGTGATCTAATGACCTTCTTATGCTAATAGTACATATGATCTAGTTTAGTTTGGTTTACTGCAGCTTGTGAACCTTGCAGCGATTACTTCAACATTAGACAAGTATTTCTACTTGTTAATTTCCAACAGTGCAAGAGGTATTTTGTGGCTGTTGGATGTAAGATATTTTGGGGTAACAAGTGAACTAAATGTATGCCGTTTATATGTGTTTATTAAGAAATTGCTGTATACTTATCCCACTAAGTTATGCATTATGTGACGGTTCCTTGCTTTATTATACTTTTATAACATATACTCCCTCTGTAAATAAATATAGATCGTTTAGATCACTAAAGTAATGATCTAAATGCTCTTATATTTTCTTTACAGAGGAAGTACTAGCTACAACACATTTCAGTTGTACTAGTATTTGTGATCATATAAGTTCGCGTAGGTCTAGCCACGAGTGTGTAGCCCAACCAAGCGCATGTAAACTCTTCTCCCTATCAATGAAATGATACGCTCTATGCGTATTCGAGAAGTATTTGTGATCAGATGGGTAACTATTGGGTACACCTTCTATCACAGATCCGAAGGCAAGTTATTCGTTGCTAAGATGGATCATTTCTAGAGAAGGAGTTTCTCTCGAAAGAAGTGAGTGGGAGGAAAGTAGAACTTGATGAGGTAATTGTACCTTCTCCCTTATTGGAAAGTAGTTCATCACAGAAATCAGTTCCAGTGATTCCTACACCAATTAGTGAGGAAGTTAATGATGATGATCATGAAACTTCAGATCAAGTTGCTACCAAACCTCGTAGGTCTTCCAGAGTAAGATCCGCACCAGAGTGGTACGGTAATCATGTTCTGGAAGTCATGTTACTAGACCATGATGAACCTACGAACTATGAGGAAGCGATGATGAGCCCAGTTTCCGCGAAATGGCTTGAGGCCATGAAATCTGAGATGGGATCCATGTATGAGAACAAAGTGTGGACTTTGGTTGACTTGCCCAATGATCAGAAAGCCATAGAAAGTAAATGGATCTTCAAGAGGAAGACAGACACTAATAGTAGTGTTACTATCTACAAAGCTCGACTTGTCGCAAAAAGGGTTTTCGACAAGTTCAAGGTGTTGAATACGATGAGATTTTCTCACTCGTAACGATGCTTAAGTCTGTCCAATCATGTTAGCAATTGCCACATTTTATGAAATCTGGCAAATGGATGTCAAAATTGCATTCCTTAATGAATTTATTAAAGAAGAGTTGCATATGATGCAACCAGAAGGTTTTGTCAATCCTAAAGATGCTAACAAAATGTGCAAGCTCCAGTGATCCATCTATGGACTGGTGCAATCATCTCAGAGTTGGAATATACGCTTTGATAAGTTGATCAAAGCATATAGTTTTATACAGACTTGCGGTGAAGCCTGTATTTACAATAAAGTGAGTGGGAGCACTACCGCCTTTCTGATAAATATATGTGAGTAACATATTGTTGATCAGAAATGATGTAGAATTTTTCTAGAAAGCATAAAGGAGTATTTGAAAGGAGTTCTTTAAAAAGAAAAGACCTCAGTAAAGCTACTTACATATTGAGCATCAAGATCTATTGAGATAGATCAAGACGCTTGATAAGTTTTTCAATAAGTACATACCTTGTCAAGATTTTGAAATAGTTCAAAATGAAACAGTCAAAGAAAGAGTTCTTGCCTGTGTTTTAAAGGTATGAAATTGAGTAAGACTCAAATCCCGACCACGGCAGAAAATAGAAAGAGAATGAAAGCCATTCCCTATGCATCAGTCATAGGTTCTATAAAAGTATGACATTCTATGGACCAGACCTATTGTATACTCTGCCCTGGTTTGGTAAGGGAGTACAATAGTAATCTAAGAGTAGATCACTGGACATTGGTCAAAATTATCCTTAGTGGAATAAGGAGATGTTTCTGGATTATGGAGGTGATAAAAGAGTTCGTCGTAAAAGTTACATCGATGCAAACTTTTACACTGATCCAGATGACTCTAAGTCTCAATCTGGATACATATTGAAAGTGGGAGCAATTAGCTAGAGTAGCTTCGTGCAGAGCATTGAAGACATAGAATATTTGCAAAAAACATACGGCTCTGAATGTGACAGACCCATTGACTAAGCTTCTCTCATGAGCAAAACATGATCACACCTTAGTACTCTTTGGGTGTTAATCGCATATCGATGTGAACTAGATTATTGACTCTAGTAAACCCTTTGGATGTTGGTCACACGACGATGTGAACTATGGGTGTTAATCATATACAGATATGAATATTGGTGTTAAATCACATGGTGATGTGAACTAGATTATTGACTCTAGTGCAAGTGGGAGACTGAAGAAAATATGCCCTAGAGGCAATAATAAAGTTATTATTTATTTCCTTATATCATGATAAATGTTTATTATTCATGCTAGAATTGTATTAATCGGAAACATAATACATGTGTAAATACATAGATAAACATAGTGTCACTAGTATGCCTCTACTTGACTAGCTCGTTTATCAAAGATGGATATGTTTCCTAGCCACGCCCCTCACCGTGTCGGTGGTGTGCATCAGGGCGGGGGCGTCCCAATTGCCGCTCTACGCGGCCAAGGTATGGGTGAACGGACCACAGGCAGCGGCCAATGGCAGAGCCGACACCGTCAGTGCGGACATCGAGGTGACGAGCAGCAAGGAGCCCGGCGCCGTCGACATCGAGGATCTGACGTTCTTGACGGTGCCGTCCAAGCTACTGGCTGGGGCTGGGCCCTCCAGGACGGTGTCTCTCCACATTCGCATAGACAAGATCACCTCCTAAATGATTCCATGAAGCTTAGTGATCTAATGACCTTCTTATGCTAATACGAGTAGTATATATGATCTAGTTTAGTTTGGTTTACTTCAGCTTGTGAACCTTGCAGCAATTGCTTCAACATTAGACAAGTATTTCTACTTGTTAATTTCGAACAGTGCAAGAGGTATTTTGTGGCTGTTGGATGTAAGATATTTTGGGGGTAACAAGTGAACTAAATGTATGCTGGTTATATGTGTTTATTAAGAAATTGCTGTATACTTATTCCACTAAATTATGCATTATGTGATTGTTCGTTGCTTTATTATTATTTTTAACATATACTCCCTCTGTAAAGAAATATAGAGCATTTAGATCATTAAAGTAGTGATCTAAATGCTTTTATATTTTCTTTACGGATGGAGTACTAGCTACAACGCATTCCAGTTGTACTAGCATTTGTGATCGGGGTGTCCATATAAGTTGAAGATAGCTTTATATGACGATCAGATAATGTGTTATTTTTTCAGAGTTAGGTAAAATTACATATTTACTGCAATAGACATGACATTTGGGACACATAATTTGGCATGCCGCAAAATATCTCTGTTGAGCACACAAACAGAGGATAGGTATAACCACTGTAAAAGAGAAAAAGGAATAATAGATTAACTCTAAAAGAGGATATATAAGAATAGATTTACAATGTAAAAATCACTGGCGCACGCAGATTGACATTCAAATTTGTTCCATGTGTTACACACATCAAGTGTGAATTTTCATAAGCATTTTACATATGAATTTCCTTTTGTACCCTAGGACCATGCTCTCACGTGCAACTTGAATTACCACACATATATTCCACACTTTTGAATTAGTAATCCCATGGTGCTACTGTACTATATTAGTATTAGCATTTCGGTAAAAATAGTAGACTAGTATAAAATATGTAGAGCTCGCTTACCCAACTGAATTATGATGTCATGCTGGTCTAATTAATATGAAACACAAGTACACAAACAGAATTAAATTAAACCATCTAAGTTGAAGTTACATTTAACTAACATCAAACAGGTCTCACAACTGAAAGGACCAAGTTCAGATTACATTCAAGCCATTTTCAAAATAAACCATACATGGCTTGCATAATAGTTGCATGCCTCCATTCCCATGACAAACAGAAAACATGTGCCAATCTGCTGCTGTAGTTCCATTTCGACAGGATGAGTGGATGATGCCCTCATGCTCCAAATTAAGTTACTTCTAGCAACTTGACCTGAAATCCAAAGACCTAGACTTATTCCTTACAGAGCACACACGGTGATCGTTTTATAGAGTACGCATCAAATGTAGATAACTATATAAACCATCCAACCACAAACTATAACAGTTCTTTGTCGAAAAACAAACTATAACAGTCATGGTCACCTTGAGGTCAGTTGATACAAAATGCATCATTTTTATGACTACTACATACTTGGAAATGGGGGAGATGGCTGACAATTTGATTGTGATTCATGCATTCCAAAGTAATCGAATACTCAGAGCATTTTGCAAAATGATTCGGTAAAGAACAATTATGGAATTTAAGTTTGTCATTTTTATTGAGATAACTGACGAAAAGATAGTAAGTTAAGCATACAAGTCAAGGATGCAAATTATGACCCGATACTAAGCCTTGATGTGTTCCTGAAAACCAACTCAATTGTAGTGTGTTTATCCACAACGAATTCAGCTGCTAACCACAGACTATAAAGTGAAGTCTGAAGTGACAAAAGAAATAGCAAACAAGCAAGAAATTCAGTTATTTGCAACATGGTAATATCAAGTAATCAGTTTTCACTTAGCACACATGAACTCACAAGTTTAACTCTAATGATATGTTTGCAATGTCTGAGAAAAAATTACCATTAAATAAACAATTAAATAGGGCCTTCTTAAATTTTCAATCAAATATCAATAGCCTAATAAACAAGATAGATTACCACTTGAAAAAAAATAAGATACAATTAATTCGACAGCTTCTGAAAACAAATCAACTACTACTTCTACAAGTGATGGTGATTTCTAGAAAAATTATCTGAAAACAAGGGTACATTCACTAAAATAAACAAGTCACAATTAAAGAAACAAATTGCACACAAGATTGTGAGTTCTGGTATTGCAAACTGTTTATAATACCTAGTCCATGTTATCAAGCATCTTGAAGCTTCTCGTCATCATCTGCAGCAGGCAGAGGTGCCATCCGCAGAAAGAACGGAAAAGCAGGGCCTCTGTAAGGCTTACCCTCATTGTTGAGCCCATTGTTGAGAAATATTTCCAGCTTGACGGTGTTGAGATTGAGCACAAGAAAATAGGAGTCAGTCTTCCTTATGGACCAGAACTCCATGTAGACATAGCCAGCTTTCATTGCCAGGATGCGCACCCTCTTCATCCATTGGTCACGACGAAGCCTTCTCAGGGAGGGAAACTGAGTCAGCAGCGAGACCTCCTGCTTGACCACCCATCCACCATTGGCGTCACGGACCCAGAGCAGCACGCATTGCTCCTTGCTGGACACGAAGCACAGCCCGCCGTGCTCCGCCATGTGCGCCACGCAGTAGGATTCGCCGACAGGGACCGGCACGGTTATGTACGACCACAACCACCAATATCTCCTCTTTCGCTCCGCAATAATAACCATCGGACCGCCAGTAAGCGAACCGCCCGGCGGCAATGCCGTCGGTGTAGGGCCAGGCAAATCTGTAGCGCAGCGAGCCATTCTTGACCCAGCTGCGGGTGCGGGAGGAGAAGACGACTGAGGCCTCGTTGCCCCAGGGATCGGGCTGTATGGTGATGACCTGGAACGAGGCGTCGGCCTCGTCGGCGACGATGGCGTAGCGGAACGGGCGGAAGTCGTGGGGCGGCTTGAAGAAGACGGCGGTCCGGTCGAGAGGGTCGTACACCGCGAGGTCCGTGCTGTAGCGGCCGAGAGAGAAGAGGAGGAAGCCGCCGTTGCAGCCACGGAGGCGCCACTCCTCATCGTCGTCGACCTCGGGGTGGTGCATGAAGTAGAAGTCGCCGTCCGCCGCGGCGGAGGCCAGCTCGGGGTTGTTGCGCGAGGGGGCCTTGATGAAGCAGATATCAGAGCAGTAGAGGGGGAACGTCTCGCGGCCGCGGTCGGTGCGGGGGCCTGCGGAGGGAGCCGAAGCGGCGGAAGACGGCGGGGTTGGAGGCCACGCGGCCCCAGCGGTTGCAGACGCGGGCGGTGCTGGCGAGCGACGCCATGTCGGGGAGGCGGCGGAGTATCTTCCCGAGGAGTTCGGCGCCGAGGGCGGCCATGGGCTGAGCCATGGGCTTCTTGGCGCTGGACCCATCGCTTCTCCCCCATGGCTCCATTTCTCTCTGACGAGATTGGTGGATCGCTGAACTGCTCTGATCCGCTCTGTCTTGCGAGGGAGGGGATTTCTGCTTTCTTGCGACGTTCGGCGCCAAGATGTTTGCTGATATGGCGCCAAAATCGTTTCGCATTAGGCGCGCGCCTATTTTTCGCGCCAAAATCATTTCGCATTGGCGTGAAAATAGAATCAAGCCAGCCGAGTGCATGTATATGTTTAAAAAAAATAAAAATAAGAAAAATAATTTGTGTTTAGGAGTACCCATTCATCATGTGACCGAAAACGTTCGTATGTTCATACGAAACTACTTTACGGACGACATTTGCATGCACGATCCTGAGCCGATGTCAAATCCAACAACTTTCTGTACATTGGCGTCTTGAATGGATGGTGTGTGATGGAGTGTCGTGCTGAAATCGTGTGTGAACGTCGTCGCCTTCTTCATCGTCTAAATAACCCACTTCATCTTTCCTTTAAAAAAACGGTTCATCTTTTTTCTTCATGCCCACACGATTTCTTCTTCCTCCGGTTCCTGCCCTTGTCTGCTTCGGTCGAACCACCCGCTCCCACCCCCCATGCGGGGTGGTGCTCCCTGCGCCTCGTCACCCCACCCTCCA